GAGGGTAGGATCAAGACCCCTACTGGATATAAAAGGAAATTACCTAGCAAAAGAGAATTAGAACTATTCACTTGACATTTTATTAAAACCAGCAAGTAAACACTTTCAAACAAGTATACAAATCAAAATAAAGCAAAAAATTTAATAAATTACAAAGTATATCATAATAATCTATATACTTACTATAAACTTGGTCATATTGTCCTTTTGAGGACACCTCTTAACTAGGGGAGTTTCACCATCCTCCCCCTCCCTCTTACCCCTCACTAATCCAGTCCAGACAAGTCCACTAATGATAGAAACAGGACATCATTATGAAGCAGCAGCAAACTCCTCATGCCACTGGCACTACTCAAATGGGGAAGACAAAAAAGGGGCAGGTCGGCCTGGTGTGAATGCACAACAAGTCAAGTAGGCTGGCCAACTTTTGGCAAACCATACAGGGAGTGTTGTTTCTGCACTCTCTGCAGGAGACTAGATTCCTGAGCTTAGTGCAATTGCATGTAATGATGTTCTTGCAATACACTTTTTGGTGGACAGTTCCCCAGCTCTCCTGCATTCTGCCTCATGTCCTGTGGTGCCCTGGTGAACCTGATTGCAAATGAGCTTCCATCTCTACTATTGTTGGTCATAACAGCAGTACCAGCAGGGCCAGGAAGGGGACCAAGGCCATTGTGTCCTATATTTTACACTTGGAACCTGGTACCATTACCCTGGAAGCACCACTGGTAGTTCCATACTTCATTGTGAAAGATCAAAACTCAATTTAACAATGATTTCAGATCAGGGTTGGTGTTTCCATAAGGCGTCACAGGCGGCTGCCTTAAAGCGCCAGAGCAGAGGGAAGCAAAAAAATCCAAATTCCCTTCCTCTGGCTGGAAACTCAAATTGTTCAAATCCCTGCAGTCTACCTCACTGTCTCAGCAGCCAGCACAGAGCAGATTGGCAGTGAAGTAAGAAGGCGCCTTCTGATGATGTCTCCCCAGTGGACTGGACTTGACCAGCAAGCTACAGCTCGTGTCCTACCCAGCCACTAGAGATAACATTTCCCTCCTCCCTGGCACAAGGAAAGCCTCGGGGAGAGGTGAATAGACTTTAGTTTTTTCTTATCAAAACATTTTTTGTTTTCCTTTTAAGCAGCCCCTGTGCTTCCCTCTACAGCCCCTGTGTCCCCACCATGGCCCTTCTGCAGCCCCTGTTTGCCCTCTACAGCCACTGTGCCCTCACTACAGCCCCCTATAATCCCTGTCCCCCCTCTACAGCTCCACAGCCACTCTACATATCCTGTCACCTCTATTGTCCTAGTCCTGCAATGCAGCCCCTAACATCCCTACTACACAACCCTCCAACTACAGCCTCTAAGCAAAAAAAGACACTCAAAGGGCCCTGAGGGGGAAGGGACACACAAAACGGTCAGAGGGGAGACAGTTACAGAAAGGGGCTGTGGAAAAGAGAGAGACACACAAAGGAGCTGGGGGGAAGAAAGAGACACACAAAGGGCCTGGGGTAAGTAAGAGACACACAAGGAGGTGTAAGACACACTAAAGGGAGGGATAAAATACACTAAAGGGGGTAAGAAATTCAAAAGAGGGGTTATGAGACATATACGTAAAGATGGATTGTTTTGACTGGTCACAAACAAGGCTAAACGTTCTAATACTTTTAGAGGACAACTTGATGAGAATTCAGGCACTTATCAAGCCATGGTAGTTGACTATTGTATACCAACTCATCACTTTTTGCAGCCTACCCACAGGAAACCAGGTCGGATAAGAATCTGTTCTCCTGACCTGCCAACTCTGGACTTCTTCAGTGTTCTTGCTCCACCCCAGCCAGCAAGTTGATCTGAAGCTTTTACAAGCTGTTTTCAGATATACCTCCAATGAAAAGATGCATAAATAAATGCATGTATGTTTTCATCTGGGGTATATCTAGTAAACAGTGATTTGTATACATTTTTTTTATTATTTGGGCAGTGGAGTGTGCCTTTAATGGAGCCCTAAAGCTATTTTCCACCTCTTTTTCAAAGAAAATATATATGTAAAAGCACAAGCATTTAAAACTTTTG